GAAGGAAATCCTGTTGCCGTATGAGTTAAATCGTTAACTCCGTACTCGATCGTTTGAGAACGAAACATATTTATTTTGAAGAAGTTTGCAGTCTACTTTGCTCTACTTTACTTTACTTTTTGTCAAATCGAATAGATTACTAGAAAATTTTGAATAATGAATTGGAGTAACCGAAACTATTATTCGTAAAAACAAAATGCTCGACTCAAATGCTGATTAATAGCCATATTTAAAAAAAAATCAAAAATGCAAATCTTACACGGCAAAGTCTCTCATGAACAGATTATTAAACTCGTGACTGATGCCCACATCGTGTAACTCCATCCGGAATCCGTATTCGTATTCCTCACGCCAGCGTTCAAAATGCTTCAATGGAATGTGAATGGAACAGAACAGAGTGTTCGATCAATGGGGAATCAGATGATTATCGAGTGTGAGATTCAATGTATTGATGTTGATAGCCAAGGTGAAGATATGGTTTAAGATAAACATAATTTATTCGACTCATTCAGACTCATTCAAAGATCTCTCCACTCGCATCTAATAGCTACTTACTCCCATTCGTGACAGATTCACTCAGATTCAGTTCAACAGACATACACATGTGAGTATATCCGAAGAGGTGATTGTGCATTTGGTATTATTACCTTAGTTGATACCACAATCGATACACGGTCATGTATCACTTCGACTGGTGTATTATAGTTTGGGACACATTGCACGGCGTCATGCGTTGGGTTTTTATACGACTTCATGCATGATCATGACCGCTCAACTCTGTTATCAAATCAGAACAATCTTCTCCTTCTTCTATTAACGTTCATTGATAACATTGATTTCTGAAGCGATCTGACCAAAAGCCACTTCAGCGCATATTCAGATATTGTATGCAATCAGAGTTCAGTCAATTAGGCACGGAAAGAAAGCATGGATAGGCAGGAATATTCTTCCCTAATCAATGAGCAGATCAGTAATACTTAAACTGTGTATAAATACGAGATGAGAAAACATATCCGTTGAATGTATAAGAAGATAGATGGGAAAACAAGCTCATTCCCGGAGCTTGACAGGCAAATACGGTATACATACATCGGTGAAAGTGAAAACGAGATGAGAGCATGGTGAAGGTACTATCTCTATAGTGATGGTTAAAATGAAAATTCATACTGATCGATCACAGTTAACAGATTAATTTTCTGATCTCTGTCATTGATGGCTTTCAGTATGCCGGTTACGTAATGGGGTTAGCGATGGATGCTCGTGATGATTTGAGAGCTCTAAGCAATTGTCCATTTCAATTGAGATGGATCACACACGGAGATCAGATAATCCACGATATGCGTACCAAAATGCATGTTTAGACAAAGGAAATATGAATAACTACGGTTTTACAGAACTACTCGTTCGAACTGAATCATACCTATTCACGAATAAAAAAACAGTATTTTTTTCGTAGGGACCATAACGTTTTCCCTATAGAAGCTACTTTAATATCTATTCATTTAATTTTGTTACGTAATAGCCTCTGGAAGAGTTGAATGCCTTTTGTTCAGTTGCATGGGTTTTATTCTTTGTGCTACGGTAAGGTTGATGATTGAGTTTTTCTAATCACATCACCCAATTATGCTCAATCGGATTGAGCGGGCAAATAATCACAGTCCATTAGATTGATTGACTCATTCCTTCCAGTATTGTCCAAAGTCATGGAATCTATTGTTGCAGATTCGGTAATTAATCATCCGGAGGAAAATGACTTACTATCCCCAACCCAGCACGGGTTTCGACAAAATCGTTTATGTGCCACTAACTTGATTTTGGCTCGGGACAATTGGACTCATGCTGTAGACCAAGGTCAAGAGGTAGATATTATTTACCTGGACTTCACTAAAGCATTTGATAGAGTAAAGCATCAAATACTGATACGGAAGCTGTATAACTATGGAATCCGTGAACTCGTACTTAGCTGGATAGAGGAGTTTCGTCGCCTACGTACCATGTCAGTTCGTGTTTCCGATTCACTTTCTGATCCAATAGATCTCAATCGTGGGGTTCCACAGGGATCTGTGCTAGGCTCACGTCTTTTCCTTGCCTTTATAAATGATCTTCCAGACGTCCTCGGACCACGAACTCTGCTGTTTGCGGAGGAAGCCAAAATATGGAGGACAATAACAAAACCAGAAGATTCATTTGACCTCCAGAACGCCCTTGACGAAGCCCACAGATGGTCTGTCTCCAATGATATGGAATTCAACGTTACCAAATGTAAATTTTTATCACTACGTCACCCTGGTCGTTATTCCTACACTCTCGAACACGAAACTCTGTCTCATGCTCCATCCGACAAGGATCTGGGAGTAGTCATTCGCGCAGACTTGAGTTGTTCCACAAACTGTTCCAGGCCATCATCCATGGTGGTAAAAACAGGTTGGACTGCTCAAATGTGTTTTTGAATCGTTTGAACCGACTTTGTTTGCACATCTGCTAGCCACATATATCCGTCCATACAACGAGTACTTAATTCAGGCCTGGAACTCATGGCTGCAGCAAGATCGGAAGGCACTCGAACATCCGCATCCAAGATGGTCAAAGGCCTACATTCCAAGACCTATGGCGAAAGATTCCAGCTATTGGGCTATATTCGTCTCAGTATCATCAAATCAGAGGCGGGATGATCTTACTGTATCGGATTTTCCAACAGCCCAACCGTCCATGTAGATCCCTTTCGATTCATCTCAGGGGGCATCCACTGAAGTTGGCACTCCTAAAGAGCCGTCTCGACTGCAGACGCCATTCATTTGCAATCAGAGTGCGCAGCACATGGAACTCTTTACCGCCTAATGTGGTCTGTGCACCAACATTAGTATCTTTCAAGCGTCAGCTTGATGATGCTCTGGCAAACATTATACTTCAATACCCAGATACATAACATATTTTCCTGTGCTCTTCAAAAACATTACATTACTGTTTTGGTCGCATGGACTAACTGTGATCTTGTGGGTCGTGTCCCGAACCAAA